AGCCGGCTTCCCAGCCCTACACCTGCCTGCTGCGTCAAACAGCCTTGTCTTCAGATCTGTTCATTTTCCTGCCCAGGGCATGATGCTAAAGAGCCCACCACAGAGAAGGGGACAGTCTGGCTCTCGGAGCCGGGACATCCTGAGGGTCTGAGCTAAAGGGACCTCCCAGTTAGAGGTGCTGATGGTCAGAGTGCCCTATATAGGAGGAAATAGGACTTTGATGTTTTTATGGGAAAGGCCAAGAGAACCGTCTTGCCTGTCTCCTCCCAAGGCTCACCTGTACTCCCTAGGCAGGTCAGCCCAGGTCTTCTCTGAGCTTCATGCCTTCTGTGCTCATGTCTGTAATGTCGAGGACCACAGGGCTAAAAATAATCGTGTGAACTCCCTACTGTGTGCCTCGTGATGCCCTAGCACTTTAGACCCATGATGCGTCTGTTGATTGATTTCATCCTGACTGCACGGAGCCCCTTGCCCATGCCGGGCACTTCACAGATATCAAATCCAAGATGTTAAACTGGCATATGGAGTCCCTGGGTGTGGGTAAGTGCTCAGCTACTAACCAAAGGGTTGGAAGTTGGAGCCCACCCAGAGGCACCTCAGAAGAAAGGCCTGGTGATCTGCTGAAAAACTGAAAACCCCACGGAGCACAGTTCTACTCTGACACACACGGGGTCACCGTGAGTAGGAATCGACTCCACAGCAGCTGGGTTTGTTTTTTTCTTAAATCGTGCCACTTCTTAAAATTTATTAAAAATGAAACTTTACATTACTTTTATACATGGAAGTGGCAATCTCACCTGCCTTATCTGTAAAAGCAAATGCCCATTAACATAACAAGTGCTTGCCTGTAATCCCTGAGGGTTCAGGACCTCGCCTTCAAAATCTCTTCCAGGGAGTTTATCTGCCTTTTACAGATTGGGAAACTGAGGCTCAGAGAGAGCACAGTGACTTGCCTAGGAAACCAGCTGAGTCTGCAGAGGAGCTGGGCTTCCAAGCCAGGTCCACCCATTCCTGGCTGTGATCTCTGTGGTTCCCGGGCCCAGGGCCTGGAATCCAAGGCTAGAGCTTGCAGCACACACACTATAAATATTTGTTGAGTGAAGCAGGCAGATGATTAAATAAATGAAATTACAGTGTTTTATTACTTGACTGGTGTGGACTGTTAGTCACCCATGGCGGTGAGCTGTGTGCCAGTGAGTCTAGAGGGAGTTATGGGTGCCACAGCTGAACTCCAGAGACAAGGCAGATGATGACTTTTCTGGTCAATTCATCTTTTTCCCACCAAAATAACGACTGTGTTTACTTTCCAGTTATCTTTCTAGTCAACATCCCAATTATTTTTAAAATGTTAGCTTCCATGTTAGTCCCTGGGTGGTGCAAACCTTAAACATTCAGCTGCTAACCAAAAATTGGTGGTTTCAATCCACCCAGAGGCGCCTCGGAAGAAAGGCCTGGTGATCTGCTTCCATAAAGATTACAGCCAAGAAAATCCTATAAAGCTCAGTTCTACCCTGTAACACACGGAGTTGCCGTGAGTTGAAATCAACTCAAGGGCAACTGGTTTGGTGTTTTTGTTATTTTATTTTATTTTTAGCTTGTATGCTATTTACATTTGCTACAAACAAGCTTAGAATAATTTTCACCTCCTTAGCCTCAAGGAGACCAAATTGAATTTCAAGATTACGTATTCAAGGATGTGCCACACGGGCTTTCTAAGAGGTCCCCAAGCAAGCACTGTGGTGTTTAGAGGTGTTAGCAGCCCGGGAGCCGAGGGTGGGAGGGTGGGGGGAGAGGTCTGTTTATCCAGCCCGCAGCTCACACATTCGGAGGCGTGGCTCAATTGTTGGTTGTAAAATAAGATTATCCTATACCCAGAGGAAAACAAAGACTACAGAAGCTAAATCTGAGGCTTTCCATTAAAATCACCTTCTCCTTTAAAACAGTCAAGGCTGTTAAAATGCTCCATTGTTTATCTCCCCACCCGCACCCCACTATTCATTCTGTTTGGCCAAGAATAAGCCTTCTGGTACAGCTGTATAGTAATGACTGTTTCTTAGACGTTGAAATTTGTGATTACACCGCCGGATCTCTGACCCAGGTGTCTTTATAAACATGATTGGCTTTTTCCAATAGCAGAGGCTGCAAGCTGGGAATTTTTTCCCCCAAGGTGGAAAAACGTCTTTCCTTTTCAAGTAATGTTCTGCACCGAAAAAGACGCTGTTCTCTAGGAAAGGAGGAAGTAACCCTGCCGTCCTTGGGTAATTTTTTTTTTTTTT